GCCTCGATTTCTCAAGCTCAGACTATCTTCCTACCTCAGTCTCCCCAGTAGCTGGAACCACAGGCACAAACCACCATCCTAGCTTTTTTTTTTTTTTTTTTTTTGGTAGAAATGAGGTCGCCTTCCATTGACCAGTTTGGTCTGAAGCTACTAGTTTCAAGCAGCCCTCCCACTTCGATCACCCAAAGTGCTGGGATTACAGGTGTGAACCACTGTGCCAAGCCAGGATAATTTTCTGTTAGATAAAATCACTGCAATCAAATGTTGATGGGATCGATTTTCCCACTAAATTCTGCTTAATCTTGGGATAGCATATTTGTATAGTGCTGTATGGTTTTTAAAGCATTGCCTTAAATACTTTGATTTTGAAACCAGTGTGTGAGAAAGGCAAACAGTTGTGATCATTCCTATTAACTATGGTTAAATGACCTACCCAAAGTCACAGAACTAATAAGAGGGGGACATACAACCGGGGAGATGGTGTTCATTCCACTCATTCACCCATGCACTCATTCATGTACTCATTCATCCATTTATCAACTAATGGAGATTACGGATCCAAAGATGAACAAGACCTAGCCTCTGCCCTCAAGTTGTCCACGGTTTAGTAAAGAAGCAAAGGAAAATTCGTGCACTGGCTAGGCTCAGTGGCTCACGCCTGTAATCCCAGCACTTTGGAAGGCCGAGGTGGGTGGATCACGAGGTCAGGAGTTTGAGACCAGCCTGGCCAACATAGCGAAACCCCATGTCTACTAAAAAAATACTTTAAAAACTAGCTGGGCATGGGGGTGGGTGCCTGAAACCCCAGCTACTCAGGAGGCTGAGACAGGAGAATCACTTGAACCTGGGAGGTGGAGGTTGCAGTGAGCCAAGATCGCGCCACTGCACTCCAGCCCAGGCAACACTGCGAGACTCTGTCTCAAAAAAAAAAAAGGAAAGAAAATCCCATACGAAGTGAAACGTGAGCATGAAAAGTGTAGCAAAGGGGTGTATGCAAGGCTTTCAGGTAAGGTCAATTCTGAAATCTGGGTTTCAATAGAGAAAGAAATGGCTAGGGAGTGAGGGGTAAGGGGAAAGACACACGTAGGTCATCTAATTTTGTTCAAATACAAAAGTGTATGTGAGTCCTGGCGGACGCTGGGAGTATGAGGTCAGCAGCAGCCAACTCTTGGCCTTGAATGCCTTACCCTGTGGGCCAAGTTAAGGACAGCCAAGGTGCTTAGGTCCAGAAATATGCTAATCTCCAAAAAGCTTCGTGGGCTAAGCTCACCTCCTATGTAAAAAAGCACACTGGTGTTAAGTTGCATCTCTTTTAATACTGAGATGTCTTGAAGCAAGAATGACTCAAGCCCCAGGTTTGAATGAGTAAGTTGTTTGCTGTAGCCTATGTATGTATACACACATTTTCATACACCCACATGGATACAGTTTATATCCATAATACTACACATAATATATGTATCCTCATGGATTATACAAAACATACACAGAACTCTATAAACTCACATGCAGAGACATCTGAATAATGTGTATATCTAGACTGACTTCTTGGGACATGCTCAGGTGGACATGGGTTACTGAGAGAGGTTACCTGTGCAAGACAACTATCTGTTCTAGGTGATTTCAAATAGTCATTTGCCTAAAGAGTAGGCACTGAATGGGGCTTGGACAAGATGAATTCTAAAGGGAGCTTAAAGCTCCATGGTTTCATATATCACAAGCTTACTTGCATGTAGTTTCCCCATTCTCAACAAATAAAATTCCCCAGTGCTGGTGAAATTATTCCTTTCTGCTGTTCTTTAGTACTCAGGCAGAAAATGTGTTATTGATTTCTGATTCAGCCACAAAAAGTGTGACTTAGAGAAAAGAGCACTGAATGAGGAGTCAGGAAATCTAGATTCTTTCCCTAAACCACGCTCCTTGCTGTCCCCTCCCTTTGTTACTGTGTGACCTTGAACAACTTACTTCACGTCTCTGGGCTTCAGTGTCCCAAGTGTTCAATGAAAGGAGTGGCTGAGTGTTCTACAACTCTATTTCCAGCTCTAAATCCATAAAACCATCCTGTCCCATCCCATCCCATCCCAGCCCATCCCTCAAGATTTAGTTTATCTCTGTGAGCTCTAAAATTCAGGGCTAAAACTGGATTCAAATTACCTATTTTCTAACCAAAGAAGATCCTGCTTCACTCACATTTAAGCCATGCAAATCTTGCATAATTGAAATGATCAGTGCTGTCATTGGTTGCTCTGGTTTAAATTATGCATTGTTGCTATTTGGGGAAAATTTAGACTGGGTCCAGTCTGGGATCACTGGCTGAGAACAATAAGCCCCCAAAGTGAGAAGGATAAAGGCCTCTCCAGACAGGATCTACTTTTAATGCACTGAGCCCAGGGTTTACAAAAACAGCATTGACTGTGTACATTAAAGAACCACCAAAACAGCAAGGGACTGGTAAGTCTGCAGCAAATTCTCCTAGAAGCCACTGACCTTGGCTGCATTTCAGGGGTCAGGCATTCCCCAGGAGGGGCTCAGCAGGCAGGCTTTACCAACGGCCTAGGAACCAATGAGACATCTCATCTAGATGAGTCCCCCTCTCCAAATGTGCGAAGGTAGAGATGATCTGCCCTCTGATTTGTGGAGGTTACCTATGTGGCCTTTGGACCCACTCCAGCAGTCACACCTCACCCACAAGACTGGTCAAAGACCCTGGCCCTCCAATATATAACTGCCTCCACATCTGCATCTAAGTCTTCTAGCCAGCAGTTCCTGGTCCCCGAAGCTAGCTGTTGCCCTCTCTGTTTCCACACCTCCCAGCAGGCAGAAAAACAGAGGCAGCCCAGGCCACAAAGAACAGTTTCAGTGAATCATGCAAAGGTGTCTTTTCAAAATACAGATCCTAAGAACACACATCCCAAGTGGGAACCGCACTCGTCCACCCGGTGGGCCCTCACTGGTTGCTGCCGTACCTACAGGCTCCGCCTTTGGTATTTCAGAAAACCTTTCCCAGGAAAAAACCCACAAGGGACAAGCCTCGGCCCAATCGCATCAGACTGCTTTCCAATAGAGGAGCAAGGTCGAGATTCCGGCCCAGGGAAATCACCGCAAGCCCTGCGCATTGTTCAGACCCCGTCCCCCTTTGCCACTGGCCCCGCCACCCCACCACCGACTCGCAGCACCCCACCCCCAGTCTGGACCATCCATCCACCCGATTAACCCGCCCGCAGCAACTCCCAGCGCAGAAAGTAGGGCAAATGAACACACACCGTCGGTAAAGCAGGAAGCCACAGACCTGGCCAAAGCACCCACCCTGTTACCAACCCCACCCCGCTGCGCAGGGGGCAGCCGGTTCTTGATGTGGCATTTCCACTCCAGGGAAATAGACAGCTTCCTGTAATAATGCATGAATGAGCTCTCGCTGCCCGACTATCAGAATAGCCCATTGCAAACGGCAGCTGTTTCTTCTCAACTCATTACCTGCCTTGCTGAAACCTCGCCTCTTGGCCCCACAGATTACGACGAAGAAAGGGTTATTAAAAGAGAGGCGAAAGAAAGGTTTAATTAAGGAGACCACAGAGTAAGTACCACTTTGATCACAAAGGTAGCTCTTTAAAATATCGGTGCAGCAAGAGGCAATGTCAGAAGTACTAGGAATCCAGGTAAATGGCCCCAAGATTCAGCATCAATCTAACAATGTATTCCTCAGGAGGGCGTGTGAACTTCCATGCTTCATCCATCCTGGTGTCGCCCTGTGGAGAGCCACCATCAATTCCTTCTCACGCACCCTCCATACATCAAGTCTATGCGCTCGCTATTTTTTAAATTTTATTTTTGATTCGGGAGAGGAAGAAGCCGGCCTTAAATTGGTGTCCAATCCTTCTCAGACACCCGCTGCTGCCACCATCCCCACCCCTCACCCCCTTCCCGGCAGGCAGTATCTAATTAAAATGGCAAGAGAGCTCTGCCCCCTTCCCCGAAGGAGTGTGCTGGGATGGAGAGTTGGGGGTGGGGAAGCGTCGAGGCAGCACTGGGATTCCTGGTATTCTGATCTCAAAACAACAGCAAAATGGATTCTATATCAGTGATGTCTTAGTCAATACAATGAAACGGCGTCTGAGGTAATTCACGTGAAGGTAAACGCAAACCAGTGGGGCTGGGGGGAGGGAGGTGCTCTACAAAGGACTGGCCACAGACACGGGGAAACCACACACACACACACACACACACACACACACACACACACACACACGCACGCACACTCCAGGGAGTTCCGGTCTGATTGAGGAAAAGCAGAAAACACATCCCTTTCACCTGCATAAGTTCAGCCATAAAACTGAAACGTTACAGCCACAAAGTCAGAAAGCACAGGCAGGGCTGAGTTAAAGCCATAAATAAAGGTGAGTGGCAGACTGGCATTTCGGGGAGCGCTGAGAGGGCGCCAGGCGCGGGAGGCAGAAAAGGGGGAGGGGGAGGCCGTTGCCATCTACGAGGCCAGCTCGGAGCGGGAGGTTCGGCTCCGCGGGGACGGCCAGCCTCGCAGTGTCATCATGCAGGTAGCTGGGAAACCTGAGGGGCCAGTGCCTGTCTTCCCGCTGGCATTCTTTTTGCAGAAGGGACAATCGGGTCTCGCGCCTTGGCACCAGACAACTGCCCGGGGCGTGCACACACGCACACACACGCACACACACACGCACGCACACACGCCTTTCATTTTAATGCTCTTACACCGGTCCACAATGAAACTGGCATAAGCTGCACGAGCCCTCGGGGCGCCTCGGCCACGGCCAAAGGAAGACGGCACCGCACGGCCCCCGCCGTAGAGGCTCAGCCGGGAGCACCTCGCGGCCCCGAATCAAAACGCGAACCCAGGTTCCGTCCCCGCCGCATTCTCCCGCTGCCGCCCACCAGCCCCGGCCCCGGCCCCAGCCCCCCAGTGAACGCACCAAGCCCATTCACCCTGACCCAAACCCCTGGAAAGAAACCAGAAAACATGTCCTACTCACCCTCAGAGCCGAGAGATCTATTTCATCCAGGCTTCGAGCCGGGGAGTCGCTCGCCATGTCTACTTCTTCGCTGGAGAAATGGACCAAAACCACCCCGAAGCTGCTCCCTTGGAAATTCCACCTTGGTCTATTTCACTCGCGTCCTCATGCGGGTGTCGCGCCACAGGCCCCGGGCCCAGCCTCCCCGCCCACCCCGGCCCCACGGCGCCGGATCTCGGTCCTCCGCGCGTCGGTCCGCCGGGTCCCGGAGCCCAACCTGCGCGGATCTGCAAGCCCGGAGCGGCGGTGCGTGTGGGCTGAGCGCCCCGATCGGCTAAGGGCGCTGGGGCTGCGTGGGTGTATTTAAATGGGACATGCTTCTTTGCCTGTGCGTGGATGGCGGCTGCATTGGCTGTTATAATGAGACACATCAACTCCTCCACTCCGCGGGGGGAGGGCGGGGGTGGAGAACCACACAGAACTGTCTATCTCCGCTTCCTGGGAGGAGTGAAGGGGTGGGGGGAGGTGGAGGAGGCGTGGTCTGGGACTGGGGATCGGCCGCAGAGCTTCCTGACCCGGTGCCTCTGCACCGGCGTGGACGGGGGAGGGGCGCGCAGCCTTTCCGCCCAGGCTTTTGCGGACTCCGCGGGCCGAAGGCGAAGGGCCGTTCCTGAACCTTGACTTGCTTATCACGGGGACCCAAGCTCTATTTTTGTGTGGCCAATTCGTGCACTGCAGCAAAATGGCCCTTCGATCGCATCCTGGAGTTTCTCCGCGAGGTTCAGACGCACTTGCGCTGAGAAAGAGCCGGAGGGAAAAAAGCAACACGTTCCCTCCCCCATTAATTATTTGTGGGGCCGGAGTTTCGCGGGCTGGTGCAAACGGTGCATATAAGGACTTGTGTGCAAGGAAGGGATCCGCCTCCAGGCGCGGAGACGGTGGGGGAGAAGCGCACACGCACAGTGCACCCTGGGCGCCTCGGCAATTTGCAGCTGCGGCGGGGTCGGTCCACCCGCGGTCTCCGGAATGGCGACGCTGGTCCCGGGCGCCGGTCACTCGCCGACTCCGGGTTGGGAGGATTTGCCAGATGCGGGGAAGATGGGAGATCTGAGCGCTCTCCTGGCATCGCCACACCCAGGACCTGCTCGTGTCGCAATTCCCCACGGAAACAGCCGATTGAAATGAGAAGCTTGTTCTCTGGGTGCAGTAGCTGGAAGGCTTCAGGTAACTCCAGAGCCAGCACGGGGTGAGGCAGCACCCACCGCCTCGGCATTCAGCGTTTCTTTCAGGCTGGTTTGCGTGGCAGACCTGCCCAGATTGACGGAGAAAGTTTGGCGGGCGGATAAGAAGTAACGAGGAAGATGTGTACGTGAGAGCGATTTCGCGTCACCCACTTTCTCCTGTACAGGTTGGATGTTTTACAGCGGTATATATGGCCTTGCTTCTGTAATCAAAAGTGGGAAGTCACTTCCCCCAATCCCCGCGCGGCCCTTCTTCTCCCGCCTTAGCCATGCAAAACACATAGAAAGAAAACACTGAAACTGACCTTTTTCCCAAGTACAGCAGTAGCTTTAAAAGCATTCTTTGCTCCTCTGTTAACAGCAGAATGTACTTCTGACCAGTGCACTGATGGTTTCTTAATCATGCAGTGTGAGCATCAGCTGCAAAATAAGGCTTATGAATGAATGAATGAAAGCCAATGCAGTTAGTTCATCATGACTGCGGGCATTAGAGAACTTTGAAACAGCATCTCGTGTACATTGTACTGTTTTTGTTACTGATACTGTACATATTCATAAGCATTGTGGATCAAGCACCATGACTCGTGAAAAGTGTTGCAGCATCTCAATGGCCTCAACAGTTTGGGAGCTTCTGCCTTTGAACGTTGTATGTCAAACGTTTGAACGTGTTATGCTAAAAACGCTACTTGACTTCTCATTTTTTAGTAAAATCATCCGGCTCGACATAGTATGCAGTAAGCCAACACGTCGACATGAAGTTAAAAAAAAAAAGAAAGAAAAGATCAATTTCCCGTCATCGTTCTTATTTTTCTTTTCTGTGTCTCTGTTCTTTTACCATTCATCTAGACAACAGGTTAATGTATTGTCTCAAGGTTGAAAGAAGATAATTTCAGATCAAATATTAAGATCTATAAACAACTATTTTTTAACCGCAAACATAAGGAAATATGAGTTAAATTTTTTTCCGTGGAAAGCCTTCATTTTATGCCCGTGATTATACTTGAAACATTACAAAGAGATCAACTTTTTTGACATTATTGAGCTGTTTGGACTATGAGGGTGCCATGGTAGTGGCATTAAATTCTACCCTTGGATTTCAATTTAGATGAGAAAGTTATGTCTGCAGTATGACGACAGGTGCTAAATGATGAGACAGCCAGGGAAAGGCAGGGGTGCCGGCTGCAGGAAATCCCACAAAAGGAGAGATTGCAGTGTCAAAGGGACCTCCAACTGCTAAGGAAAGTGAGAAGGAGAAACTTGAACTTTCTCCTTTCCGTCAAGTGTGTATCAAATTCGGCTATTCCAGCATAAATTTCCTAATTTTTGGCTGTGTCTCTGTATTACCTGTACTATTACTACTTACTTCACATTTTTTTCTTACACTTAATATAAAAGAAAACATAAATCACTACGGTAAATGGAAAGCCAACAACACTTGCTTTGAAAAAAAAAGGTGGGGGGGAGGAGACCATTAGAATAAATATAATGGAAAATAAAGAAAGATTATTAAATTCTAGCTAGCTCTCATGGCCTGCTCCTGGCTTCTAGTCTAAGGCCTACTCTATTTTTTTTTTCTCGGTGTAATCTGAAGGATTAAGAGAACTGACATCGTTTACGTGCAGTTTGAAAACCTGCCGAATAATACAACGTGCTGTTTACATCTGTGTAAGTATGTAATAAACTATACAAAGCGTGGATACAGGCAGTAAGGATACAGATTAACTTCGGAATAATGAGAAAAGAGGAAAAAGAAAAGGAGACTCCAACAATGATACCTAATTTTTTTGCTAAAGATTTCTGCCAGGCATGGTGGCTCACACCTGCAATCCCAACACTTGGGAGGCCAGGGTGGGAGGATGCTTTGAGTCCAGAAGGTCGAGAGCAGCCTGGGCAGCATGGCAGGACCTCCATCGCTACAAAAATACTAAAATTAGGTGAGCCTAGTGGCTCACGCCTGTAATTCCAGCTTCTAGGGTGGCTGAGGTGGAAGGATTGCTTGAGTCTGGGAGGTTGAGGCTGCAGTGAGCCAAGATAAGCCACTGTACTCCAGCCTGGGTGACAGTGGGAGACCCTGTCTTTGAAAAACTGAATAGAAAAATTGAATACATAATACTGTGCTGCAGATGTTCGTTTAAGCATTTGCTATGATCTGATGTTTGTGTCCTTTCAAAATTTATATGTTGACACCTTACCCCCATAGTGATAGTATTAAGAGGTGGAGCCTTTAAGAGGCGATCATGAGGGCAGATCCTTCACGAATGGGATTAGTGCCCTGAGAAAAGAAACTGGAGGGAGCCTGTTCGCCCTTCCCCCACATGAGGACACACAGAAGGTGCCATCTATGAAAAAGAAGCCCTCGGCAGCCTTCATGTCTGCTGATATCTTGATCTTGGACTTCCCAGCCTCAGAACTGTGATCAAATCTGCTTCTGTTGTTTATAAATTACCTAGTCTAAGATATTTAAGTAATTTAAGTAACATGGAGAATAAATCCAGAAGGCCCTATTCATCTGATAGGGGATCTAGAGAATGGATGGAAGGAAATACTCAAAAAATAATTGAAAATATTCCAGTATCTTTAAGTACAAAGCTCTCATTTAACTCAGAGCCAAATACATAGGTAAAAAATAACACACTTCAACACCTAATAGTGGGATTTCAGAGCATGAAGGATAAAAAGAAAATCTTAACTAGATTACCTTCTCATCAGCAACAATGGATGCTAATAGACAATGGAACAGTATTCTAAGGGAATCATTGTAGCGGTGTTTTGTCTTGTTTTGTTTTGTTTTTGAGACAGGGTCTCGCTTTGTCACCCAGACTGGAGTGCAGGAGTGCAATCATGGCTGGCTCATTGCAGGAGCTCAGTGAGTTCAAGCGATCTTCCCACCTTAACCACTTCAACCCCATCACCACCCCAGCACAAAAGCGGGGACTACAAGTGCTGGCTGCCATGCCTGGCTATTTTTTTTTTTTCTTTTCTTTTTTTTTCTTTTTTGTAGAGATGGAGTCTCACTGTTTCCTAGGCTGGTCTCAAACTCCTGGGCTCCCATCTTGGTTTCCCAAAATGTTGGAATTACAGGTGCAAGCCACCACACCTGGCTTCTAAGGGAATTGTTTTTAACCTAGACTACCAAACAAAATTATCACTTAAGAGAGGGTACAAAATAATGACAGATATTTTCAGACATGTAAGAATTCAGATTGCTGCCCATCCTTGAAATTGCTGTTAGAGAATGTCTTCCACCAAAGAGTAAACTCGATCCAAAAAGCAAGTGTGTGACAGGAAAGACGATGACAAACAAACATAGCAAACCCTGTTTCTTGCCCGCTCAAAGCCATTCTCTTTCTTCCTTGCTAGTAAAACACTGATTTTGATAATTTACCCTCCTCTGTGTGTATCAAAAATATGGATTCTCTCCAGCCCGAGAAGGAGAGTAAATGTTAAATTGTCTAAATTCATCATAGTAATTCTATTCTCCCTCCTAATGATTGGTTTAGACATAGGCATATCATTCAACACTGACTAATGAGAAGTGCAGAGAAGCCTGGTGAGATTATAGAAATGGTTTTCCTCTTTGAAAGTTGAAAAAAGAAAAGGAAGTAAGGAATAGGGAAGGAAGATCAGAAGAAATGAAGGAAGAAGGAAGGAAGAGAAGACAAAACGAGAAATGGAAGGAAAAGCTTCCTTCTCATGGTATCTATGCTGAAGATGATTTCCAATGAGCCTCATTTTCTGGTATTCACACCCTTGTGTGGATCCCTCCAACACAGAATACAGAGGACTTCCAAAGCTGGGTAGTAAAAGGCATTTCAGCTTTAACCTTGCTTGCTCTCTTGGTTCACTTGCTCTAAGGCAGGATTTCTCAACGTTAGCACTATTGACATTTCCGGCCTGATAATTCATGTGGTGAAGAGCTGTCTTGTGCAGTATAAGATGTTTAGCAGTAACTCTAGTTCCAACCCACAAGATATCAATAGCAACTTTCCAGTTGTGGCAACTAAATGCCCCCCTGGTGAGAAAAATCACCCAGTATAAGAACCAGTGCTCTATGGGAAGCCAGCCATCTTGTCCTGCAGATATCATGCAGCCTGCCTGCCATGTTGGTGAGCCACTTTAAAGTGGATCTCCAGCCCCAATCAAGCCTTCAGATGACTGCAGTCCCAGCTGATTCTAACTGCAACATCATGAGAGAGCCTAAGCTAGAACCACCCAACCAACTGCTCCCAAATCCCTGACCCATAGAAACCACATTATTAAGCTAATAAACTTTATTGTTGTTTTAATTCACCTGATTTGTTATGCAGCAAGAGATAGCTAACACATTACTTTCAGACAAGGTTGCGTGAGGATATGATAGCTGGAATTATAGAAACCATCTTCCTAACAGGATGGGATGAGCTTCAGGAAAAAAGTAAATAGATGAAAAGGACCTGCATCCTGCATGACATCATTGAACCACTGCATTAACTAACCCAGGAACAACCTGTCTTTGAATTTCTTTTTATGCAACATAAGTTTTTCTCATGGTTTAAGTCACCTTTAGTTGAGTATGCTGTTTTTTGCAGCCAAACACTTTCTGTTATAGAAAATTTTAAATTTTTCATTGTTTTCATCATTGCTAGTTAATTCAAATAACGATAGTCTCTAACTAAATGATGTTGTCGCAAGGATAAAAGGAAAGAGGAGCAGAAAAAGCATGCTAAGCTTTTTGTCTTATTTGGAAATGTGTATAGATAGTATCTCTAAACACAGAAAAATATATCAATTATGCATAACAAACATAAGGTCACCACATAAATACAAATTGTATGTTTAAGGTACAAACTACTTCAATGGAAAAAAAAATGGAACAAGAGTATGGATTCAATAAAATGAAGACAAGAAAAAATGTCAACCAGAATGAGTAGCGTGAAGGACATGCTTTTAGAGTGGTGAGGCCCAGCCAGCACCCATTCTGCTTTTGTATACTGTGGTAGGCAGAATAATGGCCCCTCAACTATGTCCACTTTCCAGTCCCTGAAACTGGTAATTACGTTACCTTACCAGGCCATAGGGACTGTGCAGATGTGATTAAGTTAAGGAATTTGAGATAAGGAGGCTTTCCTGGATTATCAAGGTAAACCCAAAGTAATCACAAAGTTCCTTAAAGTAAAAGAGGGAGTCAGAAAAGGACTCAGAGTTAGAGGAAGGTGTAATATGGAAAAGGCACTGGGACATGTAACACTGTTGGCTTTGAAAATGAAGAAAGGGGCACATACATCAAGAAATATGGGCAGCCACTAGAAGCTGAACCAGGCAAGGAAGCACATTGTCCCCTGGAGCCTCCAGAAAGGAATGCAGCCCTGCTAACATCTTTTTCTTTCTTCCTTTCTTCCTTCCTTTCTTTCCTTTCTTTCTTTCTTTCTTTTTCTTTCTTTCTTTCTTTTCTTTCCTTCTTTCCTTATTTTTCTTTCTTTCTTTCCTTCTTTCCTTCTTTTTCTTCCTTCCTCCCTTTCTTTTCTTCTTTTCTTTTCTTTTTTTTTAAGACAGAGTCTTGCTCTGTTGCCAAGGTTAGAGTGCAGTGGCAGGATCGTGGCTCACTGCAATCTCCACCTCCCAGGTTCAAGCAATTCTCCTGCCTCAGCCTCCTGAGTAGCTTGGGATTACTGGCATGTGCCACCATGCTCGGTTAATTTTTGTGTTTTTGGTAGAGATGGGGTTTCACCATGTTGGCCAGGCTGGTTTTGAACTCCTGGCCTCAGGTGATCCTCTCATCCCAGCCTCCCAAAATGCTGGGATTTCAGGTGTGAGCCACTGCAGCAGGGCCCAGCCATTTTTTTTTTTTTTTTTTTCACCACACAGTCTTGCTGTGCCTCCCAGGCTGGAGTGCAGTGGTGAGATCATGGCTCACTGCAGCCTTGATCTCCTGCACTTAACGGATCCTCCCACCTCAGCCACCAGGGTAGCTGGAACTACAGGTGCACGCCACCACACTTGGCTAATTTTAAAAAATTGTTTGGCAGAGATGAAGTCTCACTATGTTGCCTATGCTGGCCTCAACCTCCTGAGCTCAAGGGGTCCTCCCACCTCAGCCTCCCAAAGTTTTAGGCTTACAGACATCAGCCACCGTGCCTGACCCCTGCTAACATCTTGATTTTCGCCCAGAAAGACTCATTTTGGACTTACGACCTGCAGATTATAAGGTAATAAATTTGTGTTATTTAAATAAAGATACTACTTTTGAGGTGATTTATCACAGCAGTGATTTTTAAAAAATGAATACAAACTTTTTGTATCCATTTTTCTTTTTAAATCATTGTGTCTTTTCCCTTGGTTACAGACTATTGTGGCTGTCACTCAGGTTTTCTGCTCATTGGTAGACAAAAGGTGAGGAGGTACTTGAAACTGGAACAGTGAAGGGAACCTTCACCGAAACCGGAAACTTCAGAACAGCAAGACTGAAAATGATTAGTGTTAATTCATTCCAGTTGTGGTAGCTACCCATAAGCTATGACTAGAGACCATTCCTCCTTCCTAGTCCGAGAAATAGGAAGCCTTGTTTTCTTGTATCTTGCTCATTTCTATATCTTGGTTGTCTGTGCTAGTTATTTATTGCTTTGTAACAAACAAACCACCTCTGAACTCAGTGACTTAAAACAGTAACAGTTATTTCTGTAGCTCGAAAATGTGTGATTTGGGCAGGATTTCGTGGGGAAGGCTCAGTTGCTCCACAGAGCATGAGGTAGGGCTGGAGGACCCACTTCCAAAATGGATTGTTCACACGCCTAGCAAGTGTGATGTTAGGATGTTGGGAGTGCTCAGCCAGGGGTGATGGCTGGGAGCTTCTCTTCCTCTCCAGGTGGGTCTCTCCATGGTCTGTTGGAACTTCTTCATGACATGGTGTCTGAGTTACAAGAACAAGCATCCCATGAGAACCAGGTAGGAGCTGTATTTTCTTTTCTGACCTAGCCCCAGAAGTCATGAGGCTTCATTTCCACTATTGTCATAAGTCTACCCAGGCTCAAGAGGAGGATGCAGAGATGCCCCCTTTCAGTGAGAGGATTATCTAAGTCACATTAAAGAAGAGCATGTTGGACGGAAGACACTATTGCAGTATTTTTGGAAACTAAAGCCTACCCCATTCTTCAAGCATTACCGTCAATTCTCTGGTCTCAGCATTCTCCCCTTTTGCTTATGTTAGCCGGAGTTGGTTTCTGCTTTTGCTTGTAACCAAAGAATAATGTAGCTGGCATAAGCACCAACGTATCAGAAAAAGTATAAATATTTAAATTTCCTTATTAAAAGACAGAAGCTCTGAATTTGTAGAAACAAAGCAAAACAACCCCAACAAATTAAGAATGTACATGCTTTTCAAATGTCCCACAGAAAATCAACAACATTGGACCAGGCCAAAAAGTACGCTTTTAATAATTTCTCAAAAGCAACAATCATACATACCATATCATTCCTGTAACAGATCCATCGAAACCTGTAATTCTCAATTATTGAAACTTTTTCACTAGAATGACTTTTGTTTCTCATTATACTTTAAGTTACTCCCGGAAGCCAACACAAGAATTTATCATCATTTTAAACAGCTCTTCTTTAGAAAATAAAGCTCCAGTTTTCTTTTGTCCAATTACTGCAGTCTTCCCGCTCCCCGGAAGGCTTCACTGACTTTACTGTAGCCTCACAAAGACTCCATCTCTGTCTATTGGTAAGCATTCTTTATCACTTTCCAATTGGTCTTCCCTCTTACTCTTCTTCCCAGTTTTGTACTGGACCTCAGAGCGCCTGAAGGAGCTGAATTTCCATGTACTGTCTTCCACATAATGAGATCCGAGGTGAAGAACGTGGTCCCTGGAGTTGAACTGCTTGAAGTCAAATCCCAAAATAGAAAAAGAAAAAAAAATACAGTAGTTTTATTGTTTTTATTTCTTGTCTCTCCCTGATAGATAGTTTTCTTTAAAAACCAAATGCTTTTAGAATAATAATGGCAAGTGATTTTATCTCTTTTGTATTAAATAGGCTTGGAGCAATTTTCTTAATTATCCAGCACGATTTAAGCCCAAAGGCAAACATACTTTACCTAAAATACCACTATTACACTTTCCCTAAGTGCAGAAAACTACTTTTACTAAAAATTTGGCAAGCACTTTCCAAACAGCATTTTCTGTTTTCATTCCTTGAGAATTCCCTAACAAGTATGCATAGAAATTTTAATATACAGCTGTAATCCTTCGATATTTATTGTAAAAGTTTAATTGTTTATCATTTTTTTGGAATTTGCTTAATCTGCTTAAATCCTAAAGTGGTTTTCAATGTAGTTGTATTATGGCCAAGTAATTGAGTTTTCAGCTTGCTTTTCTTTCAATATTTTTAGGCTCTAACCTAGTATCCTGCAACAGTACCTACATGCCTAGTCAATGATGAAACATACTGTAACTGAAATGATGAAAGGGCATTTATTCTGATTACCAAGGCCTATTCACACCATGTCAAAAGCCTGGGATGCTTTGCTTCCTGCTGGCTATCTCAATGTGCTTCCACTTTTCCCATATAACTTTTTTACAGAACTGGGTCCCATTTAATTTTAGAGTTAAAATGTCCCATACCCTACCGTACATGCAAAATAATTTTCAGTTTTTTTTATTTCATATTCATACATTTGAATGGTATAACCCCAGGTTAGCCAGAGCTGGGGAAGGAAGTGGGTAGCCTAACTGGACCTTTACATGAAGTCATAGGGTAGAAAAAAGTTCTTATCAGACTTTTCAAGCTGGACCTTAAAGATAAGCAACTCCAACACCCTCGTTTTACAGATAAGGAAACCAAGGTCCAGAAACACTATGTGACTTGCTCAGCGTTACAGAGTTAGCACAGGAAAGGGCTTTGGGAACTGAAGACTTTGTGCTAAAAAAAGAAAGAAAGAAAAAAAAGTAAGGCCGTATTTATCAGTATTGTCTCCCACCAGATTCCTCATATACTGTTTCCTCTACTATACCATATTGTGTCCCAGACGTTTAAAGTACTTTTCACTTGTGTTGTGCTTTTTATCTTAAGGAAACCATACAGGTACAGAACTTGTCGTATTTCCCTTAATGTGTGGGCTGCCTGAGAGCTCCAAGCTAAATGAGTTGGTTTGCCATGCCTGGTACTGGCTCTAGTGTGGGAGAAAGTGCTAAAAATGGAGTCAAGAAGATTGACTGAGTGGATTCTTAAAGGCAGACCCAGGGAACAAAGTGAGGAAGGGGGCTTGTTTGGATTCATTAGCCAAAGAAAATGGAGGCCACACCTCTCCAGAAATTTAACACACTCTCATCGTGCAATTACGTGATTTCTAAGGTAGATGCTGGAAAATGCATTCTCTTTTGATTAGTACTTAAGACACTATTGTGGTTGTTGTCTTTCTTTTCTACCATGGAGCTTTTGATTATAAAGATTCTTTCTTGTTCATCTCTTTTTCTTTAGTGCCTAGCATAATGCCACAATAAAGTGGTGCATATTTTTAAAATAAATAATAAATCAGTGTAGTGACATTGATAAAGGTAGATGGAACTAGCCACTTTAAAGCCAGAAAATTCTGGACAAATCTTTTAAGTCCCAAAGTGTCAACATTTTGTATTTGTTATAATTTTACATGGCTAGTTTATTCTGAGAATAAACTAAGAGTCTCATTCTAGTCAAAGCTGATAACAAAAATTAATTATAGATTCACCTTTCTCATCTCTTCACAGAGTGTAAATTCATTCACTCATTCATATATTTATCCATGGAAAACATGGATTGAATGCTGAGATCATCAAGATGGTCTCTGCTCTTTATAATTTAGGCAGTGTTTCTGCAAGTATGATCTCTGGTGCACCGACATGAAAGCGGGGAGCAGGGCTTGATTAACATGTAGATTCTCAGAGTATGGGGGGCCAGGGCTCAGAAATAAACATAATGACACTTAGGTAAAATGCACAGAGAGTATAGGAGCTGAGAGGGGTGGAAAGGATTCAGGGACAGAGTCCAGGACGTGGAGAAAGGAAAGGAGGATCCTAAAGCTGGTTGGACAGAGGTTCTAGACCTTTATAGATGTCTGTGAGTTAGTGATTAAGTGATGTTAGTGAGCTAGTGACCTTTGTAGATGTTAATAGTGAGTTAGTGAGTAAGGAAGACCCTGAAAAGTTGCTTAGTATCCTTTGTCTTCCACTCTGTCTCTCATAGTGGAAACAGCCTGGCCACACCGTGTTAGAACTCTTCAAAAAACTCTGATTCTCACAGAATCAGACCAAAGCCTCTTTTTGTTGTTGCAGAGTGCTATGGTCTAAATTTTTGTGCCTCCCCAAGCTCATAGGTTGAAATCCTAACTCCTAGGATGAGAAGTGGGGCTTTTGAAAAATGATTAGATCAAGAAGGAATAGCCCTCATGAATGGGATTAGTACCCCTATAAAAAAGGCCAAAGAGATCCTTGCCCTTTCCCCCATACGAAGACACAGGGAGAAGGTGCTGCCAATGAGGAAGCAAGCCTTCATCAGACATGGAGTCTGAAGGCACCGTGATCTTAGACTTTTAAGCCTCCAGCACTGTGAGAACCGTCCGTTGCTTTATAAGCCACCCAGCTTATGGTGTTTTGTTACAGTAGCCCAGATACACTAGGACAGGCTCAGCCAAAGCAAGAGTCAGCCTTGCTCCAGAAAGCTGGTAGAGCTCTTGGCTCTTCGGCGATCTGCTGTCCTATTATTTCATCCTTTTAAGCCATGCCAGAACCTTTTACCTCTAGCATAATACCTAGAACATGGGACACTTTTAAGGTGAATTCATGCTTCCCTTTGACTCTGTCCACAGACTGACACAGTCTGGAAACACAGTCATGCGTCCATTCTATAGCGACATTTTGGTTAAAAGGAAACCCTTTTGTGTCACCTTTTCGCAGGTAACACAAATTAGTTCAAGCCCATCCTTCTCAGGTTATGCCTTGCAGTTGCTGAGTTTTCTTTTTTCTTTATGAGACAGAGCCTTGCTCAGGCTGGAGTGCAGTGGCACGACCTCGGCTCACTGCAACCTCCGCCTCCCTGGTTCAAGTGATTCTCCAGCCTCAGCCCCAGAGTAGCTGGGACAACAGGCACATCCCACCATGCTCGGATAATTTTTGCATTTTTAGTACAGACGGGGTTTCGCCATATTGGCCAGGCTGGTCTTGAACTTCTGACCAGGTGATCCGCCCTCCTCGCCCTCCCGAAGTGCTGGGATTATAGGCATGAGCCACCGAGCCCAGCCTGCAGTTGCTGTTTTCCGATGGGTATGTCCTGGGAATATGAGCATCTCTCTGCTTGAAATCTCAGCCTGAAAGCCTTCTGCAGTTTAGGAGGAAAATTCATTTGATGATTCTTTTACTTTTTAACTCTTATTTTGAAAAATTCTAAACATATGCAAAAGTAGAGAGTGTATCTGACTTCCCTGTATACATCA